TAAAATTTTAATTCTTGTTTCCTTATTTCTTATTTCAACAGCAACCTTGTCTCCTAAATTAAGACTCGGGACATATTTTCTATTTGATTCTCACTTTGGGCTTATTCCAGAGTTCCTGACTCTCCAACAGTTCTTTCCTGGTCCAGCCCAGAGTGTTGCATTATGCTTAATTTTCATTGAATTAATCTCAATTTTGTAAAGCATAGATATTTTAATGATAGACAAAGACTGGCTGTTATCTATGGTGAATTAAAAGGAGATTTCTAGAATGGTGTGGCATTGACTTTTCTCTTTTGTTTCTAAATAGTTTTGAATCAAATGCTCTCAGACCAAAAAAACCAGGGGGTAAAACAAAGATTGATCTCATCAAACTATTTTCAAAGTTTCAAGTGCTCAGTATATCCAACATCAAGCCAGTGATAGGGCTTATGAAGTGACAAGGAATTCCCCCTGTTTCTAATGAAAACATAGGAGAGATGGGTTTAGGCTGACCATCCATAACCAAGCACATGACTTCAAGATAGGTAAGGGTGTCATAATTTATAGAGATATGCAATTAACTAGTGCATGGGTGAGAGAATCTAGCTGACCTTGGCTGATGCTGAAAAAGGGTACACATGTTGGAACCTAGTTCGTATTCAGGTGGGAGAAAAATTTTCCCTTGAAATCACATTAAAAAATCAGAAATTTGTAACAATTCTGGAAACACATCAAGGCTTTCAAAGTCTGCCTATGACCCTGAGCACCTCAAGATGTGCTCCTGTTGAATAGAAGGTAAAGAATAGTTCATGGATCCATTCTGTTAAAGGTATTACCAAACAGGCATTTGCTATTTCTGTGTAATAGATAAAGAACTTCTTTAAATAACATATAACAAAGATAATAATAATTCAAGCTAGGATTTGAACCAAGATCACAGGACTACACTTTTTCCTATGGACCAGAACATAAGAACCACTTTGTTGGATAAATGCACAGGTGTGAAATTTATGCATCTTCAGAAATTAAAGGACAACTTCCAACATCCCTCATTCTTGCTGGTTACATTGATTGGGACTCCAAATTCAGGAATGTAATATCTGGTACACTACCGATTCCTTGGGCCTCTTGTAATGCAATGCTGTGTTTATAATATTGGCTACTTAGAAGAAAAGTAATCTCTTCTCCAGGATATTGATCCCCAGCTTTTAATCTTCAAGTTTGCCATTTACTTTCATGGTCAATAGTGATGAATAGGTATACTGTGCCCTCATTGAGTTGATCTAAGCCCTTTGAGATAGTGGCCATCTAGAATAAAGAATTCTTTGGTGCCCCTTGAAAAAGAGCAGTGTTAGATTAGTTAACATTGTTGGAATTCAAAATTACTTTCTTTTTTATGGGTATATCCAGCATCACTAGCATGTCAGATTATTAAAAGTATGTTGAGAGCATAGTGAGGTTAATGGGAGAATCCAATGGCTTACTTCAGTTAAACAGGTAACTAAGAATGGGTCTGGTTGAGATACTACATTCCCTAGATCTCCTTGCTTCTCAGTAATTCTATTTATCCCAATCAGGATTCATTTTCTCCCTTTTATACCTGAGTTCACAAAATGCATGTACAGAGTGCTTTTGAGAAAGAGGGGATATACTTGCCCACTCTAACTGATTTTATTTATTTATTTAGTGGATTTATAAGGCCACCCATCTCACATACATGATTCCAACACCATTTTCTTCTTCAAACCTGCGTTCCCAGAATCTAGATGATTTATAACTGGGCTAGAAGTCTGTTTTCTTTGGGAAGATGCATTTGGGTGAAGGGCTTTTTAGTTTCATGTTCCAAACTCTACTTCAGCCTGGAAGTCACCAACGGTCACCCTAAGTGAGGGGAGTCTGAATTGAGAAGGTTGTTGCCAATAGTTTAAATGTCCCCCTAACAGCAAACCTAGCAGTGACACAGATGCAACTTGTCATATATTGTGGTGTTTCTTTCCACAGAAAACAGTCTTACTGGTTTCCAAAACAAACTGGATAAAAAAAAAAAAAGAATACCTACAACTGTTATAAGCTGTCATTGTTCTCCAAGTATTAATTTCCTTTGGATCAAAAAGACCCACAAGCTGGAACATTTTGCTCCATAGAAGCAATCTCACCCTAGCAGCAATGAAATGGGGCATTATGTCATAACTAATTGGTCTCCTTGATTTTAATGGGGCTGAACTTTACACCCCATGCCTTGTTTGTAAATTAGTTTCCCGGTGGAATTTCTGGCAACCATAATTAGTTCACAGGAGTGTGATCAGGAGAAAGACACATGATTCTGACTCTGAGGAATGAGAGTAGTGGAGAATTGGGACTCACAGAAGATAAAGATATGGAAGGAAGTTCTCATGGTAACATCATTTTCTGATATGTCAGGGACAACTGTGTCCTCTCAATGGAACCTCAAGATGTGCTAGATGTGAACGTGTAAAGGAACATGCAAGTCAGGAGATTCCAGGGAGCTTGGAAAAAAAACTAATTCAGATGTTATGTCTGTCAACAAGCTTCTACCACACAATAGTTGAAGGCAATTCCTTGGCTGGTTTTCATGCAGCAGGTTCAAATAACTCTCTCAAATCTTGGGTTTGAGATCTCTACATCCTCACTCTAAGTAAAGGTATGTTTGGGGTAACTCAAAGAACATTACTGACACTGAAGATCTTCTCTAAAAAAAATCTCTGGAGGGTCTTCCACGCAGAAAAACTACAGTGATTAACTGAAGTGATCAGGGAAGATTTTGCTGATGGCTTCTTGTCAAGGGACCAAGAAATTCCAAACTCTGTGAACATTGTCCACCTGTTCTTCAAGGTTGCATCACTAAAAAATCTATACAAAACCTATAGGAGCTGTTACCAAATTGGATCCATTACATGCGATTTATCTGTTAGATGATTTATGACCTTTTGCCATTTTTTTTTTTTTTAGTTTATCACTGCAATCCAAGAAGCTGCCGCAAAAGATATAGAAATCATTCATTATTATGACTAGCAGAACAGGATATCAGAAAAAAAAATTGCTGAATATAATAAAGTGAGAGCTTCCAACAAGAACCAGGTAACAAACTTAATTGTACAATGGAGGACTTGCTTCAGAATAATTCTACGAAAGGTGGTAGACCTTTTTTTAGCTAGGAAATTCTCTGACGGCTACAAATCTTTTGTCAAGAGCCCTGCATTTTTTGAAAGAAGATAATTTGCCCTCCATCACAGCTATTGGAGAATGGTGTAGAAATCTGAATGTGTAACATTGTTGGATGTTTCTCCCTGAAGATTTCATGGGGGGAAAAAACTAGAAATCTCTTTATTTCTCTTTATTGGGAAATCTCTTTAAGTGAATCTCAGCACAAAACTTTTATGTTGGCAAATAGAGACATTTCAAAGAACTTATTCCTAGGTAAAAGTTGCATCATTGGAACAAGTTATTCCTCAAAGAAATAAATCAATATAGGGGTTTCTTTCTTTCTTTCTTTCTTTCTTTCTTTCTTTCTTTCTTTCTTTCTTTCTTTCTTTCTTTCTTTCTTTTTACTGATTTATGGAGTGTCCAAATGAAACAGCCCCAAATGAGTTTATTCTCTCTGGGTTTTCATATCCACAAGAACTAAAGCTCCCCTTGCTTCTCTTCTTCTCAGTCATGTTTATCCTGACTCTTTCTGGAAATGCCTTGATCATCTGGGTGGTGATCACTGACCTTCAACTGCACAAGCCCATGTACTGGTTCCTTTGTCATCTCTCCATCCTGGACATGGCCTTCTCCTCTGTGGTGGTTCCCAAAGTTATTGCTGGTTTCATTCCTGGTGGAAAAGTCATCTCTTTTGGAGAATGTGTGTCTCAGCTATTCTTCTTTCATTGCATTGGATGTGCAGAATCTTTTCTTTACACCCTGATGGCTTATGACCGCTTCTTGGCCATTTGTAAACCACTCCATTATGGTAACATCATGAGGTGGAAGGCCTGCCTCACCCTATCCTTGGGTACCATAATTGGAGGCTGCCTCAACTCCACATTTCAGACATTTCTCACCTTCCATTTGCCTTACGGACAGAGACACTATATTGACTACGTCTTCTGTGACATTCCTGCCATGCTGAAGTTGGCTTGTGCTGACACAAAACTCAATGAGTTGATGATCTTCATTGATGTTGGCCTTGTGGCACTGATATGTTTTCTCCTTATTCTAGCATCTTATATCTACATCATTTCAGCTATTTCAAGGATTAGCAGCAGTGAAGGACAGCAACGGGCCTTCTCAACCTGTACTGCTCATATGATTGTAGTAGTCATGTATTATCTCCCTTTGGGATATCACTATCTGAGGCCAATTTCTAAGGATTCCATGGATGGTGTGGTGA